GCCAGAGAAATTGAGACAAAGATTGTCTCCTAGAAGGGATGGAGAGAGAACATCTCCCTAGAACTGGTGGCCTGAATATGGACTTCTAGCCTCCTAAGCTGTAAGAACTCAGTGAATAAGGAAGACCGTAGAATTGATGCCTTTGAGTTATGGTGTTGGAGGAGAATATTGAAGGTGCCATGGGCTGTCCAAATGAACCAATAGATTCGTTTTGGAAGAAGTACAGCCAGAGTGCTCCTTGGAGGCCAGGATGGCCAAACTTCGTCTCTCATACTTAGGACATACTGTCAGGAGGGACCAGTCTCTGGAAAAGGATATCATGTTTGGCAAGGTGGAGGCTCAGAGAAAAGAGGAAGACCCCCAACGAGATGGATTGGCCAAGTGGCAGCATCGATGGACTCAAGCGTGGCAACAGTAGTGAGGTTGGCCCAGGATCGGGCAGTGTTTCGTTCTGCTGTGCATAAGGTCGCTATGGGTCGGTACCGACTCGATGGCACCTAACAACAAAGCTGTAAGAAAGGAGCCCCAGTGGCACAATTAAGCTCTCAGCTTCAAACCAAAAGGTCATTGGTTCGAACCTGCCCAGAGACTCTGGGAGAAAAGGTCTGGCCATCTTTTTATTATATATAGCCTTGGAAACCCTAGGAGGCAGTTCTACTCTGTCCTGTAGAGTTGTCATAAGGCAGAATCCACGAGTTGGTTTTCTGGTTTGGGACCAGGTATTGCAAAGAATTCAAAACTGCTGTTTATGGGAGTATGAATATGCTGTCTCCCTTGCCTCCTTGGGAGACCATGGTGGTACACATGGTTAACATACTTGGCTGCTAATAATAAGCAGGAAGTTTGAGTCTGCTCAGAGGTGCTCCAGAAGAAAGGTCTGGCAATCTACTTCATGAAAAAAAATCAAGCATTGAAAATCCCATATAGAGAGAGCATATGCTGACACACAGAGTGCCCAGCAGTCATCTCTCCATCACAGGTGTGTGTAAGGAAGAAGCGTTACCCAAAAGTACATAACAAATTGAGAAAACACATTTCTGTTCCACAAAGTCACCCACTTGTGATATTTCCGGTACAGACGATCATAGTTCAGGGCCGAGCTGGACAGCGGTAGCCATATTGCCCACCCTTGCCCCACTTTCTCTCTCGAGGCCACTCTTTTCCGTAGGAAAACTGAAGAGATCTTTCAGCTCCTGACACTAAGATGGTGACATACTGCATGTCTTATTTTAGCTGGGTGTCTGGCTCTACACACCACGATTCAAGTTTGCACGGAGATGGCACCCTGGTTTCCCTGGAAAAGGGCTTGTCAGGTTAAGTTGCAGCACGGGGGAGGTTTAGCCTCCTGAAAGCTCGGTGAGGAGGGAAGAAGAGCCTGGGGGAAGGGAGATGTAGAAATCCTTGTCTATTTGCACAGCTAGCTTGGGAGTGGCAGAGCAGAGAGTGGCCCCCAAAGAGAGAGAAACAGAACGGGGATGAGGGGATGAGACCGACGGAAAGGTTTGCTCATCAAATATCAATCGAATTAAAAGGACTTGAGCTGAACTTAATTAAGTGATGTTGAATTGATTTGAATTCGATTGGAGAATTGAGTCAGGATGCTATGAGGAGAGTTGGGCTGAACTGAGTTTAAAGTTGTTTGAACGGAGGTGGCTGGGCTGGGCTGGGCTGAGCTGAGATGGATTGAATGGGAATGGATTGAGTTGAGACTTGAGAGTCTCTGGGTTCTGCTACCTGAAACATGGGATGTTCACATCCATCTAGAGTCACCTCAGAAGAAAAGTCTGGTAATTATTTCCAAAATGTCAGCCACTGAAAGCCCTATGGGACCCTGAGACCAGAAGTAGGTGCCCGGTACCACTACTAAATACTCTGAAAGGGATCACAATAGAAGGTCCTGGATACAGTGGGAGAAAATGTGGGACAAAACTTGAAATCATATTTAAAAAAACAACAACATCCAGGCTAACTGTCAGATAGAGACTGGTGGAACCTCAAGACTATAATTCTTAGTCACCCTTCAGGTCTGGACCTGAACTCAGTTGAACTGAGCCCCATGGCTCAGTTTTCAACCAAGCAGTAGGTCAGTATATATGGGGGACAACAATACCAGTGAGGTACACATAGAATCGTCAGCATTTGAGATCAAGCGTTTGCCTAAGGATAAAATTTAGGATTGGGTAAGGAGTAATGGAGACAAGACACACAGGAAGGAAATGGGACTCAGGATGTTACACTGAAGGGATCTCAGTCACTGAGATGAAACGAAATGTGTGATTTGCTGAATGTAAAACTGATGGTCTGCTCTGTAAATCTTCACTCAAGTCACAATTTAAAAAAGTTAAAAACAGGAAAACACCATGCAACCCAGTTCTACTCTGACACACAGGGGGTGTACCGCCTTGAGTCTCTGAGTTGTTCAAGGGTTAATTGGTTGGTTGGTTATGACTCTGAAGAAGAGTTCCTGGGTATAGCAAACAGTTCATGTGCCCTGGTTGCTACCTGAAAGATCAGTGGTTCAAGTCCACCCAGAGACACCATGGAAGACAGGCTTGGCAATCTACTTCCAAAATGCCAGCCATTAAAAAGGATAAGGATCAGAGTTCTACATAGTGGTGGTGGCTGTGTGCCATGGCATCGGAACCGACTCATTGTGACCCTGTACCAGGTTTCTGAGGCTGTAAATCTTTACAGGAGCAGAAAGCCTCATCTTTCTCCCGCGGAGCAACTGGTAGTTTCGAACTGCTGACCTTAAGGTTCGCAGCCCGATTCGTAACCACTACGCTACCAGAGTTCTACACAGGGCCACTGTATATTGGAATGGACTTGACGCAACTGGTTTTAGCACTTCAGAAAGAACTCACCTCTGGGTGGAACTTGAGATACAGGCACCCAATATCTCCAGTGTCTTGAGCAACGCCATGCTCCCCTCTGGGCCTCAAAACCAGAGCAAAACCAACCCAAGGCTGTTGAGTCCATTCTGACTCCTAGTGATGCTCTAGGACGGGACAGAGCTGCTTGCTCCATAGAGTTTCCAAGATGAAAACTTTAATGGCACAGGCTCCCTTTATCTGCCTTCCACAGCACTGGTGGGTTGGCTGTTAGCCTTTCAGTTAACAGTCAAATGCTTACCCCACTGTACTACCATGGCTCCTTCCCAGGACCTCAGTACCCTCATTTTAATCTAATCAGTGGTAATAATAAGTCTTTGGCAAAGATGCTTTGAGAAAGGGGTGTGTGTAATCACACATGCAAAAAAAAAAATGTCTTGTACCTCAAAGAATTTTTTTAAAAGGTGCAAATATTGAGCTCTCATTTAAAACAGTCACGGTGAAGTGTTTAAGGTGATGTGTCCTGATGCATGTAATGTATTTTGTAATGCATTAAAAAATATATATATTAAGATAGATTAAAGCATGGTTAGAAATACAGAATCTAAAACCAAACCCACTGTGATCGGGACAAAGTAGAATAGCCCCATAGAGTCTCCAAGACTGTAAATCTTGATGTAAGCAGATGGTCCCATCTTTCTCCTGCAGAGCAGCTGGTGGATTTGAACCACCAACTTCTTGGTTCACAGTCCAGCACTTAACCACTATACCACCATGGCTCCTCGATTGCTGAACAGATATGGGATAAAGCAAGGCTAAAATAAAACAGGTATCATTGAGTTGATTCCAGCTCACAGTAGAATTGAACTGGATAGGTTTTCTAGACTGCAATCTGATGGCACCACAGTAAAGCACTTGGCTGTTAACTAAACGGATGGCAGTTCAAACCTACCCAAAGACTTCACGAGAGAAAGACTGACAATCTGCTTCCATATGAGTCTAGGAAATCCCATGGGGTCGTTCTCTTAAGTCACATGGTATCGATATGAGTCACAATCAACTCAGTGGCACCCAACAACAACAATCTTATGAAAGTTGATCCGAAGTATACTGCCAGCCAATTCTTTCACAGGATGGATCCAAACTACCGACTTTTAGGTTAGAAACTGAGCGTGCACCATTTGTGCCTAGTCTAGTCAGGCACCCGAGGATGTCAGTTTGAGGATTAAAGTACGTCTGACCTAAGGCATGGTATTTTCAATTGTCTCATTTGCATTAGAAAGTTGGACAATTAATAAGGAAGATCACAGATGAATTGATGTACTGAATTATGGTGTTGGAGAAGAATATTGAAAGTACCATGGGCTGCCAGAAGAACAAACAGATCTGTATTTGAAGAAGTATAGCCAAAATGCTCCTTAGAAGCCAGGATGGCCAGACTTCGTCTTTCATACTTTGGACATACTATCAGTGCCTTAAAAGGGACATCATGCTTGGTAAAGTGGAAGGTCAGTGAAAATAAGACGGATTTATACAGTGGCAGAAGCAACCAGCACAAACGTAACAGAAATTGTGCGGATGCCGCAGGACCGGGCGGTGTTTCGTCCTATTGTGCATAAAGTTGATATGAGGGGGAGTCAACTCATTGGCACCCTAACAACAACAAAGTCAAATGCTTGCTCACAATTGCTCCTAGATACATGGGTGTTTACTATAAAATTTAGCATTTCTGCATTTTTAAAAAGATTGCTTATAACAAATGGTTGCACAGAAAACCAAGAGCCTTGTAAACTGGAAATTGCTAACATATCAGTAGCTGTTAAAATAGAGCCTCTGGAGGCGAATTGCGTGAAATTTGAATACCAGCTCTTCCTCTCCCTGGTTGTACGGATTTCAGCAGATGATTTCATCGCTCTGGAGTGTTTGTTTCCATATCTGTGAAATGGGGCTATTAATAGTATTTACCTCATAGAGCTGTTGTAAGTATCAGAACAGAGCCTGGTCCATAATTAGCATGCAGTAAGCATTAGCTAATAGTGTGGCCCTCAAAACAAATCTTGTAAGATGTGCATTGACATTTTCATTTTACAGAGAGAAAGAAAGTGGGGCTCAGAGAGGTTGTGCATCTCACCCATCGTCACACAGCAAGGAAGTGGTACAAGAACCCACAGATCCCTGGAATTTGAAATAGCCCCCTTCCCCACCCGCCCTTTGACCGTAAGTGTTTTTCTTGAGCTCACCCGATAGGATGAAGAAGATGCCAGACACGAAGGCCAGAATGGTTCTCTGTGGACGGATGTGGCCGATGTTACTGATGACGAAGGCGGTGAATACAAGGAAGAGACTGACCATGGGGAAGGGGGTAGCCGTGCGCACTGTCTCTGGGGGAGGGGACGGGAAGAGGCATGGGGGGAGTCTCTGGTAAGACAGGACACACACCGCCTCCCCTTGACCTTTCCCACTGACTGCTCCACTTAGATAGCTTCATCTCTGGCTCCACCCCTTAACCCAGACCACACCCACTTTTGACCCTACCCCTTCCTCTGTTTTCACTCGCCAAAGACCACACCTACTCTTACTAACTTCTCTTACCATCCAGGCCCCACCCTTTCCACCTGGCCCCTCCCCCTTATCCAATGATTGCCTCCTTTCAGCCCTCTCCTGCCCGTCGACTCCTCCCCTTTCTCTGCTGACTCCACCCCTTCTCTAGCTCCACCCTCTCTCCAACCATCCGTGCTGTGATCCAATCCCTTTGTGGCCCAGGTCTCTGCTTCCCCTCACTCAGAATATTTTCTGTGTTTTCCGTCACCAAGTTGATCTCGGGTTCAAGGAAATACTCCGAGGCCACGCAGCGACCCTTCTCACGACCTAGGGGTGGGAAAAGAAGAAGGCAAGTTTGGGTGAGAGACTCATAACCCCCAAGGAGGTTCTCAGGAGCACCCCGGGATGAAGGTGAGAAGTTGAACCCAAAGATGATAGCCTACACTACTCTTTTAGGTGGGGTGGGCAGGATGGAAGCGTTGAATCTCCTTTTGGAGAACAGATCTGAAGCAAGAAAGGGCTGTGGGTCAGAACTCCTGAGGCCTTGTAGTGATAAAGCCCTCATACAAGCTCCCTAGAAGGCAGGATCTTGGTGGTTAGTAAGTCAAAACTAAACCAGCTGCCCTTGAATCACTCTCAACTTATGGTGACCTCCATGTGTACAGAGTAGAACTGTGCTCCAGGGAACTGCATTCATGGCTGTGACCTTTTTTGGAAGCAGATTGCCAGACATTTATTCAAAGGCATCTCAGGTTAGAGTCTAATCTGTTGGTTAACAGCTGAGTGCTTAACCAGTTGTGCCACCTGGGGACATCTTTTGTGTTTACTGGAAGGCATGACTCAGGGACGCTGGTGGCACCGTGGGTTAAGCATTGGGTTGCTAACTGAAAGGTCAGATGTTCGAACCCACCAGCCACTCCTCAGGAGGAAGATGAGTCTGTCTGCTCTTGTGTAGACTTACAGCCTCAGAAACCGTATGGGGTAGTTGTACTCTATGTTATAGGGTCGCCGTAAGTGGGAATCGATTCTATGGTAGTGTGTTGGGTTGGGTTGGGTGGGAGGCATGGATTTTTTGATTCTCTCCATTCTGCGGTGGAACCGTCCAAGGAACAAAGTTCGAACCTGCTGGTTCTAAAGGAGGACTCCAGAGTGCCCCCAGGGAGGCAGGAGACTCCCAGATGGCTAGAAATTTGGACTCTATGTTCTGGAAAGGTGTTCGCCACAGGAGTGCAAAATTCGGAATCTGAGTATCTTTCAGAGCAGAACCAGATCCCTGACTAGGTCTCTGGAACCAAGTAATGGAATGTGGACAAGGACTCCTGGGCCCCAGGTAAGGTGGAGGAAACAGGGGAGGGGAAGACAGGTGAGCTCTGTACCTGCAAAGAAGCAGACTCTCCAGAGGCCAGCATGTAGGGCCATCTTGACCTCAGTGGTCTGATTCTGTGGCAACACAGTGCCTTCTTCCATGTAGAGCCAGTAGTCAGTGCTGACCGCGATGCCCACCAGGAGCAAGCCACACGCACCAAACACGCTGCTCAGCAGGGTCAGGGCTCGGCTGCTGCAGTGACTCATTCTCAGTGGCGGGGGGCGCCCTGCGGGGCCTGATGGAGTCAAAGCTGTGGTAAACTCAGATGGAAACAACCAAAGCCCCCCAATCCCATGCAGCAACTAGGACACTGGACACTACCCCCAAAATGGCCACCTCTCAGCTCTAACGTTCATATCCTGACCCATGACCCCAAACTCTAGACTCTGACCAAAGACATCAACTCTAGGATAGGATCCCCTACAATGACCTCTGTTTTCTGAGGTGTCAACTGTTGGCCACCCACTCCAGGACTGGGTTTCCCAACCTTGATGCCTGTTCTTTGTCTTTTGACTCAGCATAGACAACAACTCCAAAGCCTTATTCCCAGAATATGGTTTCCAGCCATGACCCTTGGCCCAGATCCAGAACCCCAATCTTGATTCCAGTCCTGTCTGGAACTGGGTCCCAAATATCATTACTCTGGCCAGAAACTCTAGTTACAGATTCGTAACCCTAGAACCAGGATGCTCAACTCTAACCTCATGCCCTGACCTGAAACTCCAACCTTGGACACCAGATCCCCACCCCCACCCCCAACAGAGTCCCTAACCTTGAGCCTGAGCCGATGATTTAAAAAACGTTTACTCTGATTGGAGACCTCAACTCTAGGACCAGGAATTCTGCAAACCCGACTCTCTCTGTGCCTTGATCAAAGACCCCAACCTTGGAGACCAGACTCCAACAAGAGTCTTTAGCCCTAGCTCTCAGCCAGGACATAGGTCCCTGAGCTCTGGGTATAACGCCTTTCAACACTGGATGCTGAACAACTGGACTTTAACAGAAGAAACTCCCAAGTTACCCAATCCTGACTCCATGCCCTTGACCTGAGACCTTGGCATTTTTCCTTTGGACTCTGTCTCTAGACCTGAAACACTGGCCAAAAATCCTCTAACTGGGTCACTAACCAAGGATCCCTAACCCTAAACCTATACCTAAATCCCACCTTGATCGCAGGCCTACCTAATCCTCCATAACTAAGTTTAAACCCTTGGACTCTTATCTTGACCCTTGGCACCCAATTCTAACACCAAGATCCTGACTTATGACCTTCTAACTCTGAGCATGCGCATTGACCTCAATTTAAGACCCCAATCTGAGTTCACAGTCCACATTCCAAATCCAAGATTCCAGAACCTGAACTTGCCCCCTTCCCACCACCCCACTTCCAGGCAGGCTCCTCACCCCAAAACAATAGAACCAAGAGACATGAAGCCAGAACCTTGTCTAGAGGCTCCAAAAGGTTAAAACCATTTCCGGGGAATCCCTTCCCACCCTGGTCCAACATCCCAAACAAGAATGTCTCTCCATTCAAGAGCCAGGAATTTCAGGTGATAAGTCCAAGACCCCCATCTCCCACCACGTGTTTCCCACATTCCTCCACCAGAGATTCTAGACCCCAATTTCCCATTGCATGCTGGGATTCCCAATATATATACAACCTAGAACACTGACATTCCCCACAAAGTGGACCCTCAAAGCACAGGTTCACCAGTTCATAGATGTGACTTCCCAAATTCTAACTAGGGGTGCCCTCTCAACCCACAACTCAAGGTCTCCAAGTCCCTTATCCTCAACATTCACCTCCCACCCAAGAACTTTCTCCCAAACCATACAGTCCCGTAATTTGGAGGGAAGGGGAGATGCACCTGGAGATTTCCAGCTGGTCTACACCCGAGATCTCTAGAACCTACCTCACTGTGCTTTTAACTAGGAACTCTGAAAACACGAGGGTCCACCATCTTTAACCAGAATTCCTAGAGCCCTGAAACTCTTCCCCACTCGAAAAGGACCCAGGAGCTTGAGAACGCGCCCCTCTTAAGCCAGCACCCCCCCCCCAATCCCCTACACCCCCACCCCCAGCCTTCTGGAGGGCTTGCGGATCTAGACCTAACCCGGCAGAACTGCTGGTCAGCCTCTCCTCCCATCCCCCTTCGGGTGACTTCCGAGCTTGACCGCCAGCTGCCTGCTCCCCTTTCAGTCTGCTCAGCTCAGAAACTGTCCCCAAACCCATGTAGGTAACCCCCATTTGGCCCTCGGAACCCCCTGGCTGGAAGCTTTGCACTCTTACCGTTATCACTGCCCGCTTTTGAATCCCCTTCTTGCTCCAGTCTTTAATCTCAAAACAGCCCGCCTATTCCTCCTCCCGATCCGGGCTCAGCCGTCTCCCTTAGGGGACCCTCCCCCTCCCCTAGGCCCGCGGCGCCCTCCTGTTTTCGTTTTCATCCCAGTCTCTCCCGGATTCGGGAGCTCCAGGTCCCCCTTGGTCCCGTTCTTTAAGCTCCAATTCCAAACTCCATCTGCCTCAACCTCCTGGGAGTTGGAGCTCGCCTTCTGAGGACCTGCTTTCAGACTGACGTCCTGTCCTTCGTGGGCCTGGGCCCTTCGCCCTCATTCGGGACCCTCAGTACCGCCTCCCTCAAACCCCGGCCAGCGCCTCGCTTAGGTGTTTGAGACCTCAGGAGTGTCATTTCCTGACTCCGGGACCCTCAAGTCCCCTCCTTCTGGAGACCCTAGGCCCCCTTACCTCTCCATCAACCATTTATCTGCCAAAGTCGGACGTCCCGACCACCGGAATCCCACTTCCCGAGCTACCCAAAGCCTTTTGAGCTCCAAACCGGGTTCCCAGCCCCCTCTTTCTTTCCAGGACCCTCCCCGGGCGCTCACCTCGCTCAGGGCTGGGCGGACGCTCCGGGCCGCGGGCCCCGCAGCCGCATGACCGGCCCCGCGGATTCCCCCGGCTGCCGCCGCCACCACCGGGGTCGCCGGTG